AATTAGTGGAATGAAGATTGGCAGGGGAAATTGAAGTACTCAGAGAAAACCTGCCCCAGCGCCACTTTGTCCACCACAAATCCCACTTGACCAGACCCGGGATCGAATCCGAGACGCCGTGGTGGGAAGCCAGCGACTAACCGCCTGAGCTACGACATGGCCGCAATATGTGACCTTAACCTTTATCCTACTGCCCTTTAAACTTAGGTTGTGTTAGCGGTACGGATTTCTTTAAAGGGCCGCTATTTGAGATCCGTTAAAGCTGTAGTCACTTAACTAAATTTGCTCCTATTTCTACAATTTCTGTGATAAGCGAACGAAATAAACGCTGTTTTTTTCTCTAACGAATATAGAATCAGATATTGTAATTTACAGATTGTATAAAACATGTTAAAATTTTTGCACTGACACCAAATAGAGAATTTTCGCAGTTTCTTGTTTCTGTGCAAGAATTCATACGTTCTGGACACCCCTGAATGGAATTTGCTGATGACGACACTTGTGCAAGTCGCGGTAACACCGGATGTTGTTGTCTAGAGCTTATCGTTGGCTACAACTAGAATTTGGACAGTGGAAGAGTGATATAAAGTCACGTGTTGTTGCATATAGCGTTCTTCTGAACAATACGTGTACTGTACTTGTAGAGTTGAAGCCTTCTTTTTGTTTTATGAAATCGTGTTGCTGTATCAACACACACCGTAATAGCTTCGTTCCTGGAAGCATTCATTCGAGCGTAATTTCAAAGTGTGATCGTACCATGACGTAATTCTTGTGGAATGAATAGTGGGCGAATGGCTCGGCTGCATCCTAAAAGATTACATTTCTTTATACAGTTTCATTACACTGAGTGCTTGGTTCGTAACTGGAANGACAAAGTGCGTGAATTGCGAAATCGGACTCTGCATTTCCGGATTTTTTGAGAATTCCACACGAAGGCAACATTCCGGCAGATGACGCAGGCGGGAAGACAGACACTCCATGCAGATGGTGGCCAAAAATTATGTAAGTAGGACATAATTTTCTACTTTAAAATTTAATTTTATATAACGTTGCCACGCGCGGACTCTGCGACACCATATAGCGTCATTCGTACCGGGGACTTTCTTTTAACGACGACATACGTTGTCTTTAGTCGTTTAAAGGTTAATTACATATCAACGAGTATATGAGCTGTGTAATAAGATACATACCGTCGCTGTGTTCTCGTCTTCTGGACTATCATCTCTTTCTGACATAAAGTGAGGCATTGCAGCTGCAAGATCCCCTTGCAAACACGACACAAGATTTCTGCAAACACACACACACACACACATGACTTGAGAACAATTCTGTCTGTATATAAGCACGGTATTTCACAACATTTTAGGCATTATCTACTATGTGTCTGATGGTCTGTGATGGTTTTTACTGAAAACCAATTTGTAAACATCTTAGGAAACATTTTTAAACACGTCTTGCAAAACAAACAAGAGATTGAATAAGACAAAGTGCCTTCTTATCACAGGATAAAATATTTGTCTCATTATTACACCTGGTCACACATTTGTCAGTCTGCCTTCAGATGCTAAATAGCGAAACTTACTTGAAGGCTATCTGCACACAATCTGCCAATATATCCTGTGCATCCAATGAAAATGCAGAAATATGCCGGTCAGACTTCAGAAAATGAAGAAGCTCTGAAGAATTTGCCATCCAGAAAGCCAGGCACTTGGCATCAGCATACCTCTCCTGCAAGGAAGAACACAACAGTACATGTAGAGTACAACAAATGTTGATAAAGTATCTAATAAGAAAAGTGAAGAACTATTAAACTAATCATACTTCGTAAGATTTGAGGCTTTCACGGCGGTGACTATGAAGAAAGCAGTCTTCTGGGATTTGGCACCGTGTATATGTGGTGTTAACCGACGTTTCGGAGGAACGTATCGCCTCCATCTTCAGGGTAGAAGAAAAAAAGAAAAAAGCAGTCTGCTTTTACCGGTTCTCACGGTCTCTTCACTTGCAGATTCTTATATTATATTTTTTCTTCTACCCTGAAGATGGAGGCGATACGTTCCTCCGAAACGTCGGTTAACACCACATATACACGGTGCCAAACCCAGAAGACTGCTTCCTTCATACTCATACTTCCACAAGAAATAATCTAAAATAAAAAATAAACTTCTGTTAAATTCAGTTTATATAAGATTAGATATCTTAAGACAATCAAATGCTCGGTTCAAAATGGAACACAAATTACTGGATATTCAGAACAATGAGAAGAATAATGTAGGTTTTGTGGTTTTATTCTAGTGGCACTTCAGAATGAGGTCTTCTGGGTGAACACCATACAGCCTTGTATGCAAATACTAACAGTATGAAGGGATGTGTTGCTTCCATCTTCATGGTTAGAGGACACAAACTAAGGAACAGACATTTTGGAGGAACATGTCACCTCCTTCTTCAGAGTCGAAGCATAAGCCAAGTTCGAAACCAGCATGCAAGCTCTGCTTGCCACCTCGTTTCACACTGGTTTCTTCGACCTTGAAGATGGAGTCAATATGTTCCTACAAAACGCCAACTGCCTTTCAAATGGACTATACTGTATGCTTCATAACCACCGCTGTGAGAACCTCAAATCCTACAAGCAGTTTCTCACCCATCAGTTATGCCAACAAATTAATCTGTAAAGTACTTGATACAAAATTCCTTGGAATAGATGTAGACAGTACACTGTCTTGGAAAATACATATTGAACAAATTATACCTAAATTAAATGCAGCTTGCTATGCGATGAGATCAATTAAGCCTTTTATGTCACAGGAAACACTGAAGATGGTTTACCATGCCTACTTTCATTCTATTATGAACTATGGATTAATATTTTGGGGGAACTCTTCACATAGTGTAATAATTTTTAAAATACAAAAGAATATAATAAGAATCATTACAGGATGTAGAAGTAGAGATTCATGTAGAGAATTATTTAAGAAATTAAAAATTCTACCGCTTCAATCGCAATACATATTATCGCTTCTCCTATTTGTTGTTTACAACAAAGATAAATTCAAATTAAATTCTGATGTCTATAACATGAATACTAGACAAAAATATAACTTCCACCTACCCTCATCAACTTTATCAGTATATCAAAAAGGAGTCTACTTTACTGGCATAAAAGTGTTCAACAATCTGCCACAAAGTATTAAAAACTTGGGCAATGATACTAAAAAGTTTAAATCAGAGTTAAAGAATTATCTACATGCTCATTCCTTCTACTCTTTAGATGAATACTTCAATGTAAATAGAGAATGATGTAAAATTAAGTTATATTAATTTTTAAGCTAAAATTGCTTGTACTTATGTATATAACATTTTGACTTGTTCTGTATCCAAAGGTACTAACCTGCTTAGGATTTATAGAATGTAAATAAATTCAATTCAATTCAATTCAATACCTGTATGACATTATGTATGATGGCAGCTACTCTTGCAAGCAGTACAGTAAGCCTGTGGGCTCGCTCAGTTGGAGTTAGCTCTGGTCTGTAATGGGTGGAGGCTCGATACCTCGCCACTAGGTACAATGTATACGTCGGTGCAAGCTTAAAATGAGGCGCTGCTGGATCCAGGTCTGTAACTACTGCATGAAGAAATGCTTCTTCAGTTTCTTCAGGAAACTCAAGTACTGCTGGAAGGATTGGATCTGTCCCACGTGGATATCGTTCATAATTTGGCATCCTGAAATACAGACAATAATAAACGCCCTCCAATAACTTGCATCTATTATACAGGGTGTCTAAGGAAGAATTGCCACATTTTAAAATCTGAAATCAATAAAACTACAAGAATGCAATTTCAACATACATTTATGCTACATGCTGTTCTGAGTGTGCACTGATTTGTGCATGAGCCAAGGTAAGGGACATTAGTGGGATCACAGAGGTCAGTCAGCAGTCGCTCTGAGAATGGCAGCTGATCAACAGAAGGCTGTATGTGTGTGGCAGATGACAGAAACAAAGGCAGCTGAAGTGTTCAAAGGGAATTCAGAATAACTTATGGTAAAACCTCTCCCTCCAGTAAAAGTATTCTGTGATGAAGGGAACCAGCAGTGTAAAGATAAGGAAGAGCCCCAGACTGAAATCAATTTCAACATATACTTGTGTGCCACAAGGTAGGCTTTTATTGATGGCAATGCTGATGGTGATGGGCGACTTCTCCCTTCCTTTGTACTGTCAGTTGCTTTGAATTGTTCCATCCATCAAGGAATGCTTTTACAAGAAAGAGGAGTTTCACCTCCAGTAGTTCTGAACTTTCTTTAAACACTTGCACCACCAGTAGTTCTACACTTGTAACTGATTCTGTTACTGCCATCCACCACACCCATGCAGCTTTCTGTTGGCTGGATGTCATTGTCAGTATAAATACTGACCATCTTCTGTAATCTCGTACATGTCACTCAGTCTACTACATGTGCACATCCATCTTACATAACAAACCTTTCAGAATTTCTCTTCCATATGGTTAAATGGTACACTTGTAGCATTACTGATTTCACAATAAAAATTTTTAAAATTTGGTTTGCTTTCTTCAGACGGCCTGTATTTTGTAAAATCATTGATTGCAGAATATCAAGGACACAGAATAATCCTTCATTACTTAGTCATTCTGTACGAAGTATGTCAGCAATAATGAGCAACTGTAACGTGTAAGCCTGTGTACATTTTTAACAGCATGCAAAAGCAAAAATTTGACCAAAAGTATCCATATTTCTAATACAATGTACTTTAAAATACATGCATGACATGCAAATTCATAACTTTCTAATCAATGAAACAAAGTAAATAAATTAAAATTAAAATTCAGAAATGAAAAAACACTTACCTTAACAGAAATACGGTACGTACCACAACACCGTCATAAATTTCAGGAAACGGGAGCATTTTATAAATACATGCATTACACATTACAGGGGAGCTGGGATGGTGCAGTCAGTATAGTGACTAGCTAAAGGCTGGATGACCGAGCGGTCAGAGTTCTAGTACCAATGGGGGTAAGAATTTTCACTTATCCACGTTGTCCAGACTGGCTCTGGCGTTCGCCTAACGTTCTATCGACTGGGTACTGGGGGCTCTTTCCCTGGGTGTAAAGTCGCCAGGGCGTGAAGCTGACCACTCACCTGTAACTAGTGCTGAGGTGAAGAAAATGTGGATCAATACATCCACTCCCCCATACACGTTCTATCGACTGGGTACTGGGGGCTCTTTCCCTGGGTGTAAAGTGGCCAGGGCGTGAAGCTGACCACTCACCTGTAACTAGTGCTGAGGTCAAGAAAATGTGGATCAATACATCCACTCCCCCATACACCTTCATAGTGTAGCACTTAATTAGTTAGCACAGGGACAACTTTACAGCACATACACCTACTGGTACACTGTTTCCCTAATCATAAAGTCAACCTCAAGATGAAAATGTGTCGGCAGAAAGAGGTATGCTGGCTGATGACAAAAGCTGTCAAGACGTATTTACCTGTTTCCATCTCTGCTACTGCTAACAGATCTTTGCGATCGAGTTTCCTCCTTGTTCCCCAGACTTGATGTTGATACTGTCTCCACATTACCGTCTACATCAAACGTCGTTTCATAATTCTGGGAAGTTCCATTAGGACCAGTATTGTTGCTGTTGCTGTTGCCGTTGCCAATATTATTATTGCTATTATGACCAGGTGTCGAGGCTCCACCATGACTAACAGCGTCTTCTCGTGAGGATTGTCTGAACCATACATTGATTACAACATAATGCAATCAAATACACAGGAAACAAAATATAAAAGCATGCATGAAGCATAACATTCCACACAAGTGCACACTATATGATTTCTCTATGAGATGGTCTTGCGGGTAAAGCATGTTCTTTGCAGCATCCGGGGCTGAGAACTGTCTCCAGAGATTTTTTATATCTATGATCGTGCTTCACTACTCTACAAACAATTCAGTGCACTTGCTACCATACAACCAAATTCAACCCATGATTATTATTTAATTAAAATTAATATGAAATGCCCTATCTTCCTAGCCTAAGCCTTTAACCAATTAGTGACCAATTATAAGACATTTCTTTGCTAAGCCGGTACTTAATTTTCATACAGAATAGATTCTAAAGATTTCTGACAATGGCGCATAACACACAGAATAACTGGGTTTTTGGACCTTTTCCCCATCATCCGATGTTCTAGAAAATAGAAAACACGATGTTTCATAAACCTAGTAATTGTGTCTTACATACAGAAGTTCAAGAAGTGGCATCAAGGGTAAATGGTCTGCACCCTTGCCACAAGACCAGCTGTAATTTCCAACCCCCCCCCCNTTTCAACACCCCCCCCCACACACACAAAAAATAAAAACATTCCACATATAAAGCAAACTAAAATATACATCCACCTTGCAATATGCATATGTGAGAACACAATTTTAGTTAAAATTTGCAAATTCAGTGAATAAAGTATGAATTCAAATTTACCAGTATAATCGTAATCATGATAGCAAATGAGATTTTGAGATATTCACAGAAGAGAAAATGAAGTCTATGGTCTTCTGGGCTATGAAACAAAACTGCTTCATAAGGGGTTTCCAACATTACGGAGGAAGCTGATGTCTCCACCCGATACCTTGCAGGTGGTGGCACTGCACTACTAAAATAATATTAGTGTAACCTATAAAACTATACTGTATCATAACGCAGAAGACAACAGCCTTTAATATTTTCATTTTATAAAGTTATCCTTTTTTTAACTCTCACACTGTAAATTTCTGTGACAGAACACAGGTATAAACAAAATGAGTTTAGCACAATTATGGTCATGCCATTTTTAGCATTCTTATGGTTTGCACTGCTCTTGCCCAATACTATTATTCTTCTAACACGTGCTCCTCAAATTTCAATTTGACAATTAGTGAAACACAGAACTTTAGCAACATTTTATTAGGAATAAAAAACAAAAATACTTTTAACAATATCAAAGACATTTACAGTGGTCCTGTATTATATAAAACCTGTGCATTATGTAATAAGAGATTTCATGTTATGTATCAAAGTCACTGTGACAAAATATAAAATCACCACTGCATCATTTGCTCTCAAATTTAAGTATGCTATTTTAGGTGACATCAGAATGGCTACAGAAATGTATTATTAAGCAAAAGAATAATATCTGGCACAAAATGAGGAACAGATTTAAATATTTACTAGCACTGTTCATAGCTAATCCTAAACAGCCAATCAGGAGCTCTGCTGCAATGCTATTCCGAGAAACGTGGCTACAAATTGGTCAGGGTCAACTTAAGTATAAGTCATATGATGACATTTGCTATTAAGCAATATAATGCTCCTTCAGCCATGTGATAACGCATATTTCATACACAATGCAAACAAGGACATACAATTGCAACATGCAGTTCTTTAACTGTGACTTGTAGGCAGGAACCATGCTGCAGTTAAGTGAAGGGGATCAATACATCCACTCCCCCATACATACTGCCAAAAGCTTTCTTGTATGATCATTACTGCAATCGATTTACACTAATATTATCACAGGCATAGTCATAAATTTGTCATGCATGATATGTCCAGTATGGACACTACCACTAGCATATATACAAATATAACATATCCTGACTCACCTATCATATGCGAAGTCAAAACCTTGCCGGGCTGAGTCATGCCGTTGCCGAGACCTATCATCATGTGAGGGGTCAATGAACCTAAAATTGTGTATCCGACCAAACTTGACGATCGCTCCATTCTGTAAAAATGTACATTTAATTATGGTTTATTTAACAACACTCTCAGATTGTAGAGCGTTGAACACGACAATCAGGGAATAATGAATTACAAAGATGTAGAATAACAAGGTCAATGCCTAATATGAGTTACTATTATGGCATGTAGACCCGTTGCTAGGCAACAACAGTGAAAAAAGCAGCTATACAACAAACATATATGAGCAACAACAATTGGAAAGAGCAACATAGGAATGGCGCTTTCTGTCCAGTCCATGACAGCTGTTATAAGCAGGACAGTTAGTTCAGAGCTGACAGTTCGAGTAACGAGTTAGTTGTGAGAGTCACCAACCAGTAAGAACATGAGCACGGAAGCAGAGGACACTGTTGGTACCCACCACTAGGCAACGAACAGTAAAGACACAGAAGACTGAGAAGACTTTGTGTGTGCAGTAGTTACACTAATCTTTGGAGTGTCTAACTCAGTGAGACTGTCATAGGTATCTGTAGTTACATGCTGTAGGAGTTCAATAAATTCAATTACCAACCCAACCCCATCTACAGTCACTCAAAGAATGTAACACTGTCATAGTATTTGCTTGGAGGCATGAGGAAAACCACAAGAAACTTATGTCAGGATGGTTGGTGTTCTCACCAAGATTCAAACCAGGTACTTCCCATCTGTAACTCAGAGGTATTATCACTTGAACTAGTGTGCTCAGTGGAAGATACACAGCAACAGTCTCTGGTTATGGGACACACATCTCCGAGGTTCACCTAGCATGGCCATTATAAGTGATCATAGTAAGAATGATAGTACAATAATCTGTACTAGAAAAAAAAAAACAAGGGCAAAAAATATTGCAAATCAATATTGTCATCTGAAGGCAAATGAATGCATCAAAATGTTATTCACTGAAACTGTCCAGCTACAAGATTTTCACCAGCAATAAAAATGAACCTCAAGATCAGCGGAGTATGTAACGTAAAATTACACTTGGAAAATACGTACACTCCACATTTCTTTAATAAACAGAAATTCAAAATTATCAATTACAGAACCTGCTGATCAATCCAAAAAAATGTGTCAGTTGAAGCCTGTAACAAAAGTCCTAATCAGAACATCATTCTCTGTAACTGACATGTCTAAAAAGTAAACTATCCTACAAAGATGTTCCCTTTATTGAGGTGGTAAACAAACAGCACGTTTTATGATGAATATAAAAAAATCTATAGTCTATGTGGAATTATATTTAATGCTAAAAAATACAGCAGGATTCTTAGATATTGTAACGTGTCGGGAATACAGAAGAGTCACTTCTATGGAAACGATAGAACAGACCGTTGCAGAGGAGACAACAATGGCTCCATTGTAATTCTAACAGGAGTCTCCATGGTTATAACGGAGGGTTCGTTGCCTAACAGTGGGCAAGGTTATAGATAGCCCAGCTTCAGCGAAAAACAGTGAGTCGCGGAACACCCTTCGGAGAAGAAACTTCGGAATATCCGTCTGAGTCCAGTATCGCCGGAATATTGTAATCGGTTATTGTAAGACTGCAAGTGCAGATGATTGTAAAGTGTGTGTAATGAGCGAAAGAAATAAATTCGCTATATATCAGACGACGGCGTCAACTTATTTGTAGCGTGACAGACAACCAAACACGCTACAATATAAATTAAAGAGCTCTCGAAACTTTCTGACCTGAACCAATATTTACACCTTTGCCAGTCTGTAAATTTCATTAGTAGTTTTTGAATCCGCAACCCAAACAATAAAACTGATATTTACAGCTGCATCAGCTCCATACTGCCCTTTAACTCTACAGGCACGCTTTACCTAGCAGCAGCATTTAAAGTGCTACAAATAAAATACTTGCAATTAGCAGTTCTACCTTCGACTGCATCCATGAATCAAGTTCATTACTAGTGGAAGTGGAACTAAAACATTCTGTGTTACCTGCAATATTGTTGTCTCATAAATGCGCTGACCATTCACATACGTCTCTGCATTTCCGCTGCACGGCGTAACTGTAACAATTCCTTCTGTATGTGCAATGACACAGTGTCTTGGCTGAACATTTGGCCCAAAAAGTTGTAGTGACTGTGACTGATGGCCATGCTGTTGTGACCCAGCTGTATTTATTGGTCGTTCACTCCCAACTTCAGTCACGTTTGGGTGAAGTCGGTGACGTTTTGGTGTACCATTTGTAATGTCAGTGCCATCTGAAAGAACAGAAGATCATAGCTTTCTTCACTGTCTCGCATTTTAGCAGATACGTAACTCTTACCACGAGAGAAGGGCAAGTGAAAAGCATAGCCATTGGGTAGCCACACAGGGATGTTCTAAAACGTTCATATAGGCACTCTTTACATTCCAAGTAAACTGTACAGAACTTCACAAAAACAAATTACAACTTACAGAAAGTTTACACAACATTTACAGCTTCTATCTTCAATTTATTCAATTATTTAACATTATTCAGAGGAATATAATTGAGGTACTCATTAAAGAACTGGCCCAAAAGTATTATTACAGGTTCCTCTTTAGTATGATTGCTCTGTATAAAATTCCATCAAAATTCCTGTAAGTAATGCTACTAACACTGGTACATCTAAGGAATACTTATAACCGTACAGTACGGTAACTGAGGGCTCTGTCACTATGGTGTTCATGTCCCAACGATTACACCTAAACACAACCAGTACAACCATAACAGTAAATGCCAGCAAATATCTGCTGTGAGTGTAATAAATCCTGAGAATATGCTAAAATATTCATCAATAAAGAAACCGGCCATCCTTTTAAAGTACAACATACCTGGGTTAAGCTCAAGGAAGAAAGGCAGCCTATCATATCCATCCTCATAGCGATATTCCATGAGCTCGCTGCCTTTGTTCCATTTCTGTTGAGGTTTCTTCTTCCGTTTACGTGGATGGTAATCAGCAGGCCTCCTCCTAACATGGAACATTATAGAACCTGCAACAGCAAAGAATTCCATCATACTCACAGTCCTTTAAGACGGATCTGACGATCTAACACGTGTTACAAGACGTAAACACACCACAACATGTGTATACACACATGTCAAATCACCTAGTTCCCATGCAAACTCATGACATGTTTCAGCCACACGATGCCAAAATCAGATACATGTTCATAGGTTGATCTGTAATATAAACATCTGTGCTGGTTCCTGTTAGAATAATTCAAATTTTAAAATAATCTGAGAATAATTTAAAATGATGTCATGTGTCTCTTAGTGTGGTTCTTCATTTGTTCTGGGGTCCCCAACCTCCATGAAACATACTTCACGGATGGTACCTTGGTCACATGTGCCCTGGTGGCCAATGTGTGCACTACTACTTCTTGGTACACCAAAATGGCCCTTTCAAATCCCTTCATGCCCATGTATTTCTTATAAGATGATAAAGTGAAATCCCAATTTCACGCTCCTGTATTTAGTGTAATCCCCTATTTGTTGAATACATTTTTGGGCTCCACTCAAATGTATGTCCCTTAAAGGAGAAAATGTCTAGTTGAAAAGCAATACTAGAGACATCCTGAACAAACACTTTAATGTCCATAATGAGTGGTTTATCAATTATTTATTTGTAGTGACCTCTGAACTTTCATGGACAGAAAATGGGAGTGGTGTGCCAGTGTGAACTTGGATACCACTGACAGAAATGCGACTTCTAATCACATTAGCCTGGCCCCATAATGAGCAAACTTTACCATAACCTGACACATGTAATTTCCTAAGGACCCAGTTATGTGCCAGCTTCAGTAATTACATCACAACAACAAAAAAATATTACCAGAAGCTTTACAAATGAATTCATTACTGGCAAATTTCGCACGAAAGACATATCATATGTATTTATAAGGATGAAAAGCTTGAACTACAAACTTTGTCATAATAAACATAAATAAAAACATCGTGTTGAAATTCGGAGGAGCAAAAAATATTTACATAAATCTACTATGGCATGTTTCCGGTGATCTGAATACAGCGTTGCGATCATCTACATGCTGCATCAAAATTGCAGGTGGGTCGAATATGCAACACCGAACACGCCACGCCTTCGCAGCTTCTGTAATGTAACCTTACGACGCCAAATATCATATCCGATGGAGCTTTTGAACCACGTGAGATCGCTCGCAAAAAGAAAAGATGCCTCATGATAATCTGAAAGGGACCGAAGACGGATATTCAAATGCTGACTCTTCCCTTCGTGCTGATGGTCCTGATCTGCCTACACCTGCCTAATTCTAATACTTTTCAATATAGCTACTGCCAGGAAAGCGGCCTCCCACCTCATGACTCAAGGTACGCGGGTTCAAACCCGGCGGAGGTCGTGGAATTTTTAAGGGCGGAAAAATTCAGGGAACAAGTCGTCCGGGAGGGACTTAAGCCGTGTGTCCCGTGTCGTAGATTTACGGCACGTAAAAGAACCTCATGTCTCTAGGAGACCTCTGAGCTAAATTAACAGCAATACTTTCCCGCCAAGTAGTTTCCAATGCCTCTGGTAGATGGGGGAAGCATCAAGGTACCGAGGGCCGACCTCGTTGGCTCAACGGGGCTGATAGCACACACCGTTACCGGTAGGGTATGGCGACAATAGAAAATAAAGGGGGACGCACAATGGAACAATATCTGGTCTAAGTGCATGGGGAAACCCACCCCCTCTAATAATACGAATACGAATACTGCCAGGAAGCAGTCCTCGCACTAGCGTGGAAGCAATAAGCCCACTACCGAAAGCTTCTCTGTAAGGCAAACAGCGTAAGGTAAAATCTCGCAGCCAGAATATTTTTCTGAAATCCTACAAAACGTTTATTGATAGTAAATAAAAAGAGAAAGCAAGTAAGTGCCATATCTCACGCGGTTAGTGGCCGGCTTCCCACACCGACGGACCGGGTTCGAGCCCGTGTCATGTGGGATTTATAGTGAACAAAGTGGCACTGGGGCAGGTTTTCTCCGAGTACTTCGTTTTCCCCTGCCAATCTTCATTCCACCAATTGTTCCACAATCGCCCTCACCTACCATCTGGGGTTGGTACAATAGGCCAGAAGTGGCCGCAGTACAAGTGGACTGCCTCACCCCACTGAGAATAATAAAAATAATAAAAAGAAAGTAAAATGAATGGACGCAGAGGCAGCTGAAAAACTGAAAGCAGAACAAAAAAAAAGGAGAATCTGGAGGTGTGAAGTAAGAAAATACAGCACGGCGAAAAGTGAGCCTTCCCATGCCACCTGCTTCCACTCTCATCAACCGCTCGTGCGGGTGTGGACAGACATTCCAGGATGACTGTGTCCAGGGCGGAAGTTGTCTGGAATGGTGGCATGAGACTAGTGCCAGGTTCCTGTGGGACCGCTCCTAAATTTAATGAATGCGCACTCTTGTCAGCCCGGGGGTCCCAAACGTGCGGATTTTGCTATTTTTTTTTCAAAGAACTGTGTTCCATGAGATGCTGGGAAATTCTTGAGCTTTTGCGCAACTGGCGGCTCAGCTCCATACAGTAACATATTTAATCGAAATATGTCCGTTCGTTCTCAAAGGACGAGTCGGAGTTGGACTTGCAGAACCAATCACTGTCACACAGCTTCAAGTCCAGAGTTCGGCAACATCAGACTGTCACACTATGTCCTCACTGCGGCGTGAAACTGCACCCCTTCCCTCAGCCCGACAGCGATGTAAACATGGTCTCGCTGCGCAACGTAATAATGGAACTACGCCCAACCATGAGAACGCGACGTGCAGTTGCTTTAAAGGTCTGAAAGGTCACGCAACGAAAAACTGAATTCTGTGAAAGGGAGTTCGTCCATCTGCAACATAGAATCCACTAACATTTTTCTGAACTAAAATTAGAACTGGGATATATGTTTAATGAGCCCTGTCCAAGTTGATACTAGAGGTAACTGTACACAGTAACCTTCATTAAGGAACTTGGTCACTGGGATCAATAAAAACTGGAAGTAGTTTTAAGAATGACAAAACCACTGACACAGACGGGAAACAAACTGTCTTCAAATTAACAGACGGTATAGTAAGTTACTATGCAGCCTTCGAAGTGACTTGAAGTCTGCGTGCATTCCTTGTATCCCTTCAGAGTTACATGTCGAGTCCACTGTAACGTTCTACCTTGTATCCTCTTCAGAGTTACATGTCGAGTCCACTGTAACGTTCTACCTTGTATCCCCTTCAGAGTTACATGTCGAGCCCACTGTAACGTTCTACCTTGTATCACCCCCACCACACACGCACACACACACACATACACAAATAGAATGAGTCAGAAATTTTATTAAAACTCCCCAACACCAAACAAAAAACAACTATCGAGTTGTTGCATCTGTACAGGCGACCCGACGGACGCAGTGATTTTATTACGCGCTCCGTCGAAATGCGGAAGTGTCTAAAATTGCTGTCATGCATTTGGGTATGACTAATTTGGCGGGGATCGGACTGACCACTCCTTGCACAATCCCTCGTAATCGCAATCAATTACAATAACTCACGATAAATCTTCAGCCGAACCCTTCCTCCACGACTGCCCTGGACTCGCTCCATTCTCACCTCCGACGTCAAGTCAAAGTTACGTTACGACCGGTGGTGAGTCGGACAGTCTGTCTTGGAATGAAGCACCCATCTGGGGCATAAGACCAGATCTTTATTACGGTGAGACAGGTGCAGGTTTGTTGATGTGGGGCGCTCTCTCTGACGAGAGGACGTGCCTGCCCTTTGCCAGGGCCACAGTCAGCAGCAATAAGTCTGTTGTCAGTATGTACAGTTTATATTTTACATATTATTAAATGTGTGTATATACAACATATACAGGGCCTATGTCAGTCCGCTCTCGGGACAGCACATCATGTCCTATCATTAGTAACTCCTGCTACAACAGCAGTTTAGTCACTTGAACGGTCGTATGCTTGACCGCCGCCAAGTTTAAGCCTCTTATATGGCCTACGACGACCTCCCTTGAACTACTTATATAGCATCGAAGAGGACCCACAGAAAACGCGTATAATGCCTAACAATGGACGTCCTCTATTATTGGTTGTGTATTTGCTGCGGGCTTGTTTACCGAGTCGTTGCCTAGCAATGGTCATATGCGTCACAATATCTTTGCACAAGAACGACTCTGTACATCTCTTTATCTCTTACTCTCGGAGTTGTGTGGCTATTGCCATCGATTCAATTACTTCACTTGACCATAAAACAATGTAACGTGCGTTTCAGGTCAGTGTGGAATTTCAGACACGCAACGTGACGGTTGCTGGGCTCTACAGCCATTTCCACTGGCAATGCCTGTCACGATTTTACTTCATCAACTTGAAATACAAAAGATTCTAACGGCTGATAAAATTCAATTAACATTTAAAATTCATATCCAATTTTCCATTTCTAGTCCATTACGGGGTATACCAAGCGCATGGAGTTTGTGTTGCTTCATATTTTACGTTTTCGATCTAAATTATTCACCATCGATTACAGGAGGTAACGGCACGCGATGCAGTAACTCGGGGCACATATGCGATTCACAGTAGGTCATCTTCAAGGGCCAGTGGGCTGCATCCCTGTAGACCAAGCCACTAGATCTCACTAACTACAGTAAACCCTCGGTAAGGCTAGTGGGGAGATCCTCCGGATTCATGAAGCAAAAGATAGCCATATAAGACAAAAATAAACTTAGAAAACACATAAAAAGTAAAAGTAAAGCTATCCCTGTAACAGGCCGTGAAGGCCCATAGGGTTGTGAGACGGTGAGGGTACCACATTATCTAGACAATCGGCTATCACGTGACTGACTTTCCATGGGGTCCATGTTGCGACCGTTGCTATGCAATCGTTCGGTAAACACGTTTCAACAACAGAAGCTGTGTTTTCTGCGTGGTCGATGCGGATGCTATATAGCGACGGCAGCGCCCCGTGTGGAGGCGGGGTCGAATACATCCACCGTGACCCTGCG